AAAAGTGGGTTATGGTAGGTTAAGGAGTTCCTTATGAACCAGTCGCGAGAAAGGCATCGAAGACTGCGCCAGATAGCAGCTCCAGATACCACAGAGGCGCTTGAGCCTGTACGGTTTAGGCCCAGTTGTGCCCTCAGCGCTTGCTACAGGTTTCAGGCCCCTTTCCAAACCTCGGCCAAGCCTTTCCCACCTTTCACTCGCCACACGCCCCTCCAGAAAAGCCTGGACAGGGCGTTTGGCAGTTGAACACCCCAGTTCCCGGAAGCCTCGTAGGCTTTACTGCAGTCCCTGGGGCTGTGCCAGCAACCCAGCATGCCTTCGGGAAGGACTTGCTGTCGTTTTTCCCGCAGGCGCAGCAGCAGCAGCAGCNNNNAGCAGTAGCAGAAGCAGTAGCAGCACTAGCATTCACAGCCTGGAAGGGAGAGCAGGTTGTGGATAGATCAGTGGTATCACCATCAACGTCATTATCATCACTCATTAACAGCATCACCATCGCCATGCTATCATCGTGACTGGCATTATCATCGGCGACAGCTCCACCATCCTCACCATCAAGAGCAGCACGACATTAATCATAATTGTTCAATTTCCCACCCTCCTCATCGTCACCATCATCATCANNCAACCACCACCAACCACCAACCACCAACCACCAACCACCACCACCACCACCACCCCCACCACCACCACCACCGCCACCACCATCACCACCACCACCACCATCATCACCATCATCATCTTCTTCTTTTCATCACCGTAATCATCATCATCATCATCATCATGACCATCATAATGATCATCATCATGATCATCCTGATCATCACCATCACGATCATCAACAGCATCGCCATCACCATCATCATCATCATCATCATCATCATCATCATCATCTTAAGCCTCAGCATCACCATCATCATCGTCATCATTCTCATCCTTATCCTCGTCGTCGTCGTCGTCCTCCTCCTCCTCCTCGCCATCGTCACCATCATCATCATCATCTGCAAGAGCAGCATGCAATTCCCACATGCTATCATATTGCATCACTGCGTAGCAGACAAGAAAGAGATCATGAGAACAGATCGGATAACACGCAGCAGGACCTCGCCTGTCGATATCTCCTCGCAGTCGCACACGTCAGCATCTCACATGTCCTTCGCAACCGTCAATTATCATCACCAGCTCCGCCACCAAAATCAGCAGCAACGCTAACCACAGAAACAATGCCCTTGCAGCGAAACTGAATGCAGCAGAGTTAACTAGAAGGCACGGCACACTTTGCAGAATAATTGCTTGAAAGGTGGAATATTTGTAGCGATGGCCTTAGCCATGGTTTCATTGTCGATGTGTGCCACGGGCATTTGCTCATTCGCTTGTGAAGTGAGAATCTGAAATCTTCGTGTCTGAAGCAAGGCCCCGGTGCTTTCCTGAACAAGCCGGCGCAGGAGGCTTCACAGTCTGGGAGTGTGAACGGCTTTTCAATGCTGTGGATCTTCAGCTTCATCGTTTCAATCGCCCTTCACGTGAGGCTTGAGTCTTGAGTTTAGTGTATTGTGCTTTGGGCCATGATTGATTTCTCAGTGCTATTTGAGGATATTGATATTCATGGGTTGTCCAGAAGCGACCATAGTCGTCTCCTAATTTCGACATCGGATCCGTCTTGTGAAAAAACTTGTCTCCATCTGACTTTCCACGGGCACTCCCGCTCCTCGTCAACATGTTTGTTTGAGGGTTGAGGTCTGCCAGTACCCTGTACGCGATGCAAGAGAATGAAGAATGCTCAATCCAAAAGCATCAACAAGATGCATATTGCATAACAAAGATCCAAGGCTTCAAGTTTTTTTGCAGAGCTCTATGGACTGCTTTATCTGTGTTTATCGAACTGCATTGTTTCACGACTACTACATGCTGATATTTTGTTAGTGCGACCATTGTACTGCTGTAGTGTATTGCATAGGATACTATGTGGCATGGTGGTGCGGACCGGCCCGGCTGCGTTTATGAGACCGGTATTTTGACTTATACATCAAAGTACGATATCCTAAAGAGCCCGCAGGTGTCCTTGTAGAGTTTCAGGGTTTAGGAGCCCCAGCCGCGACCCCGGGCACGAGGGTTTAACCGTACTTTTGCCCAACCCTGCTCTAATGATGTCCTCAGTTTTGCCGTCTTTGCCTCGGGTCAGTAAATGACGCAAGGTCTCTGGCTTCACATGGCCGGGCACGGCCGGTGGCGAGGCCTGGCAGATGTAGGGTTATGTAGGGTTAGTGTTTTTTGACGTACGGTTTCAGGGCAACTTGAAGCAGGTGATTGGGCACACAAGCTGCCGGGATTTCTGGAGCGCCTTCATCCTGTCGGTGTCATGTTGCGTTCTTTTCAAGGGTCTGCGTGATGCACTGCAGCTACAGGTTAACAAGTAAGAGGGATTGCAACAGCTTCCTCCCCATGTACAGCCGCTGCCCGCACCAACACGGTCTTTGTACTTAAACACCCTAACCCCCCAGGTACCTACTACATGTGGTTCTAGAGCCCCTATGGCCCTATATAGGAGGTACCTGGGGGGTTAGGGCATGTGCCCGAATTCAAGCGACCGTCGAGCTGACATGCCGTGCGCATCCCACGCCCTAGCAGCCCTGGACCAGACGGCAGGGTCCACGGGTGTACCGAGGATCCTTTGGTGATCAGGTTCCGCTAAACGGTCATTCAGCTCAGCAAAGGAAGTCAAGACAGCAAGGCAGGAGATTTGCGTAGTCCGCGTGTACAGAGAAGGTACTTGTAGTGTAAGAACATGGTCATGAAGACCCTGCAGCATTCTACAGCAGCTAGCTGCTAGCTGGTCGGCGCTGGGACCAGAAACGTCATGTCTTGGTCCAGAGGGTGGCGTACTCCAGGCACGATCGACGGTGAGCCAATGGCCTGCATCCCCTTCTGGTGCCCAGGACCGTCACGCCTGCGGCCTTCGGCTATACTATCACGTACTAATATACTGCAATCTATACTATATGATGCTAAGATGCACTTTAGTTTTCGAAACGATACTTCAAGGTGCTACAATCATAATACTGTGCCATTGGTACAAGAATCTAGAACATACATGACTCAAGCTCTGTGAGCTTTGCAGGCTTTGAAGTATTTCAGTATCCAAGGAAGGGGCGTTTTCTGACTAAGGGAAGGAGACCTATAGCTTTCAGGCATGGCAGCGACAGCTGCAAGAGCACCAAGGCGCTGAACCCCAAACCGGAAAAGTAGCCCTTACTATAACTGTTGCGAGAACTTTTATTTTTTTACTTGTGTAAATTACTATTTCTATATTACTATTACGGTTATTATGGCCCAGCTGCAGGCCCAAGGATTCGCCTTCCACGCACTTACATCCCGAGAATCTACGATCCTCCACTGGCATCGCCCTAGCGGCCAAACATTTAAAGAGTTTCGGGCTGTTAGGGCTCTGAGGGTTTATGCGGTTGAAGGACGATAGGGTTATAGGGGTCGGTTGCCTGTCTCACAGTGCAGTTTTCGCATCCTCATCTCCGCAGGAGGGACACGAAGGACGCAGCTTGGCCATACAATGGCCGGGCTCGCCGATCGAGGCCTGAGAGTTGATGATTTGTGGGACGCCCTGGTGGCCCGTGTTTCTGTATTCGTAGTACGAGTTCTACATGAAGCTCCTTATGGGCTTCGTGACCCATACTTCCAGTCTTGAAGAATGCTACATTCCGGAAAACTGGTGTTGTGCAGTAAGGGTTTCGGAGAGGTAGAGGCCTTGTCGAGTGCGTGGCTGTTTTCGGGAAAGAAGGATTGGTTGTTTGTTTTTTTCTGCTTTTCGGTATCATTGTGCGGCCCATCTCGTATTTTTACACATGGACACAGGTGTTTTGCCTGAGCTGTAGTGGAGTGTCTCACTTGCATGCCTCCGACACCTGGCGTAGGAGCTCGACTAATATGCAAACAATGCTGATTTCTGTTCTTTTCATAGACCTTTCTCAGTAATGTATGCAATAGCCGTTCTGAGTTTCAACCCTAAAGGACCGCCTTCCTGAACCCAACTCTTGACCCCCCAAAGCCCTAACCACAAATCCTTGCAGTGGCTGTAGCACCTATACATGTTACCCTCTCATATAAAAGCCGGAAGAACCGGTGGTTATTCTAATTATACTGCGAGCAATATATGCACTAGGTTTCAGAGTTTGTTTCTATTCTTCTAGACTCCGAACCTAAACCCTAAACCCCAGCACCGCAAACCCCCAAACCTTACTCTTCTGGACCCCGAAACCCCTAAACCCTAAACCCTAAATTGACCAACCACCCATAAGAGGCTCCGGGGCATTCGCCGACAGCCGCCATATCCTCAAGCTCTCCACAGGCCGCGAGCCGCGATCGCGTTGTAGTAAGGGTTCGGGGTTTCGGGGTTGTGGTCCAGGGGTTGTAGTTTGATATGGTTTTGGGATGATAAACCAAAGTGGCTCATTACAGTAGGTGCATGGAAAGTTTATGATTCGATTGTTGCTGCTAGGGGCCTCTTTGAACACCAACAGCTGCACTTGCAAGAATATGTGGACAATGCCGAATGCTACCTCGCACTAGCAGTCAGTGCTATCATGTATTAGTACTGTTACTGAGAACAAGGGGACATTAATAACATTGCCAAAAGAATTTGCTGCTATGATAAACGGCCAGAACAACAGGCGTATGTTGTTCTTTGGATGTGGGGCGATTCGCCATCGAATTGACATGTCTAGGAGCGGCTCACATGCATACGCACAACTGAGCAAGGAAGCCGATAGCTAGGCAAGGCCTGCATGCACCGTGATGCTTGCACTCATGCACTCATGCATGACACGTTCAATAGTATCCTCCTTCGCATACAGGCGCCGGGCATGCAGTATCTACGAAGCCCTGCATGCATCTAAAGCTTGCGGTTTTCTTGCCTTCGAACCCTCTACGTGCACTACGCGAGCCCTCGACCTGAACCTCGAGCCATCCCGACTCCAAGCCCCAATGTAGGGGCCTCAAGGCAACTACTATTTTGGGGGTTCCTTATTACTGTTCTGGGGTTCTTTATTGCTATTTTGGGGGTTCCTTATTATGATTCTACTACAAAAAAGGCTCCTACAGTAGGCCCTACAGCACAAATCCCAAAGTCATGGGCAGGCATTTGCCGGGTCACCGGCAGCAGCCTCCCCTGGCAAGGCGGCTGGCTCTTTAAGTGTTTCCGGTTCAGGGTTTAGGGGTTAGGATTCAAGGGTTCCTTAAAGGGTGCCTTCGGGGTACAATAGGAGTATTTTGAAAACCCTAAACCCTAAACCCTAAACCCTAAACCCTAAACCCTAAACCCCTAAACCCCTAAACCCCTAAACCCGGAGCCTTGGGCTTCAGGGTCGGATTTAAGGCATCGAGACAGGAGTGTTAGTTCTGACAGGAACCCTAAACCCTAAACCCCAAACCCGAAACCGTAAACCCTGAACCCATTGAGGAGCAGTTGCATGACATCGCGAATCTCGATCAAGTTGAACTCGGAACCCCAGGAATCCAAACTCACCCCTGGCGCTTTTATGGTTTAGGGTTTAGGGTATACTATACTATACTATACTATACTATACTATACTATACTATACTATACTATACTATACTATACTATACTATACTATACTATACTAGGATTACCGGCCTTAGGGTGCGCAGTTCAGAGTTTTCTACCCCGGGACCTTGTCGCTCACCGAGCTTCGAGTTTTGGGCTATCGGGCTTCGCTGCAGAGGCTACGGCCTGTGGATTAGAGTTTAGGATTTAGGGTTTGGGGTTTAGGGTGTAGGATTTAGGGTTTAGGGTTTAGGGTGTAGGATTTAGGGTTTAGGGTTTCGGGAGGATGGAGCCGGTACATCCCCGAAAGTTGCAGCAGTTTGCTCAAAACGTCTGGTCTGGCTACGAAGTCTGGCGTGATCGAGCAAAGCCTTTTGTCTGGCAGATAGCGCCGATAGCGGGATGGTGCTCGAGGAGTGCCCCGCCCCCCCCCCGCCCCCTCTCAAGAAACAGCCTCCCCCTCCTTCGAGCACCCGAAGCAGCCCCCCCCCTTCATCATCGAAACTGTGCAGTTGCTTGTGCCAGCAATGTCCATGCCCAAACAAATGAAAGCACCGTTGGAAGACTCTAAAGTCTCTTGCACCAATAGCATGCATATCTTACAAACAAGCCACATTGCAACTCGGCTTGACAAACGAGGCAATCCAAACAAATCAAAAGTATATCAAAAGTTCCAACGGCGGCACTAAACGCGCAAAACAGTGAAGACGTACTCCACATCGTAGTGGCCTAGAAAATCTATTCAAGTTTCTATTTCTGACTACTACGACCGGGACGAGTCAAAGAAGAGGTGCGCCTCGATGGGGGGGGGGGGTGTTAAGCAGCTCCCTATCGGCTCGGTCTCGCAGATAGGAGTCTGCGTCTACATCGCAACACTTAACATGCTGAACAGCGACCCAACGTTCGAGAGTTAGCATGCTCTTACTCTTTTAGCTACCTTTTGGACCCTAAATGTGTCATGGGTTAGACAAAAACCGCACGACAATGGAGACTGTAGGTACAGTCCAAAGCAAACACTTTTGCCTAGGGTGGTATACCCCAAAACCCGATTCTAATTACTCAGGCCCCTATGTTAAGGGTTGAACCCTACTTGGAGGTTCATGGGTAGTTATAAGTAGGGTTATAAGTAGGGTAACTATAATTATAACCCATAGTAGGGGACCTATAACCCCACTTATAACTACCCATGAACCTCCAAGTAGCTATTTTGCCCAACACCCTTGGGCGTGTTTTTGGCCAGATCGCCGCGCCGCTGCGCGATCCGCTTCAGACGGCCCAGTGGCCCGCTTCACCGGGCGAGGAGGGACGGGTGAAACATGCTTAGGTGTGGTGTTCTTTTGTGTAGCATTTTGTTGTTAGGTACAGACATGCATAGTAAACCGAAATATGCATGAACAAGAACAGAGGTAAAGGAACGTGTATGCCATGCATGTGTGTACATATATATATATGTACATATGTGTATGTATGTATGTATGTATGTATGTATGTATGTATGTATGTATGTGTGTACATGTATATATATATATGTATAAGTAAGTAGGTAAGTAAGTAAGTAAGTATGTATGTTTGTATGTATGTATGTATGTATGCATGTATGTATGTATGTATGTATGTATGTATGTATGTATGTATGTATGTATTTATGTGTATATGTGTAGCTATGTATTCATTTATGTATCTATGTATGCGTGCATGCATGTATGTATGTATGTATGCATGTATGTAGGTATGTATGTATGTAATATATGTACTCATGCAGGTGCTCAAGACACCCAGCTCTAGGAACTGAGGTTGCAAACCTCACGTTGGCTCTGTGTGAGCAAAGCTTCCATCACAGGGTGAGTCTGCCCATCCGTGATGAGCCTCCAGTGACCTTAGGGCTTGAGGGCTTAGGGCTTTAGGGCTAAGGGCTTTAGGGCTAAGGGCTTTAGGGTTTCGGGTTTAGGGCTTTGGGTTATGGGTTTGGCGAGACAACTTGGTCAAGGAGCTGGGGATGTGAAGAGGCAGCTCTAGAGATGAGTAATGTAAGCGCCGTAATAGTTAGAATAGTGTTTTAGGGTATGTGTATTGTACTATGAATCCCCAAAATAGTATTGGTAATTATTCAGGCCCCTATTATAGTATGCAAAACTTCGGAGGCTCTGCATGGTTCTTCTCCAGCAAGTAGGAACGAGACGATGCCGAAATGTAATATAGGGGCCTTAAGAATCAGGAATTCCTTTAAAGGGCTCCTTTTGAAGGGCTTTATATGGGCTACTATACGGGTTTTGTAAGATAGGGGCGTTAATAATTAGAATCTCGTTAAAGGGTTCCTTAAAGGATTCTATAAAGGCGACTATAAGGGTTTAGGGTTTAGGGGACTTAATAGGGTTTTTTGGAGTTCCTCATTATAACTATAGTATAATATACCGCAAACCCTAGTCTAATTATTAAGGTCCCTACATTAGAGGGTAACCCTTCAACACTGATCTCAACCCAAGCCCCGAAATTGCACACTGAACCAAGTGTCTACATCCTTTAGCCTATTCCCTCTTTACCCCACTTTGGGATAAAGCTACTTTGCTGGGTCTTATGGTACCCTGGTAAATCCCTTACAGGAACCCCTTAAAGGAACCCTTTGAAGGAGCCCTAGTCTACTTTGCTGGGTCTTCGAGCAATGAGAAGGGAAAACGCTAAAGCCTTCCAAAACTTCGCTACCCTTACGCAGAACTTCCAAAATCCCTGAAGCCAGGAATATACCTTAAAGCATCTTGGGGGGTTCAACTCTAATCTAAGTATAAATTGTTTAGATTAAGGGGTATGGGAAGAGCGCGCTGGCTTCAACAATTGGGGCCTAGTGTGTACTGTACTTTTGCCCCGTTGTTGTGGTAGCTATCGACAGGCCTCGTTGGCTGGGTTCCAGAACCTAAACCCGAAACCCTAAACCCTAACCTGAACTCCAGTACTCCGGGACGCTTGGCCTCGTGGGGCGGTGATGGAAGGAGGCCGGCACCTGGCAAAACAAGTCCCAGCTTTCAGCATGTGAATACTTAGAATATACTTCCCAAACCCTAAATTTAAATGCAAACCCCTAAACCCCTAAACCCCTAAAAACCCCAAACCCCTAAACCCCTCAACCCCACCTGCTTGAGCCTCTGACTTAGGGCGGGTGAAGTCGTCAACCCTACTGTTGATGATATAAACCCTGCATTACCTTACAGTAAGGACCCTAAACTATGAGAACTATGGTAGACTCCGTAGTATGGGTAGTGCAGGACGTATATCATCAGCCGTAGTATTTAAACAACAATCTGCAGAACCCCAGAACGGAACTCCAAAACGCGAAGAGAAACTCTACAAGGAACCTTAGATCAAAAACCTAAACCCTAAACCATAAACCCCAAACCCTCAGAGAAGAAGATATGGGAACCTGTTGCCGGCACCTCTTGGGCGACTGCGACTGTCTGGAGAAGCCTGGCCATGCGCGCTAACGTTTTATAGAAGGGTTTGAATTTAGGGGCCGGGCCTTAATAATTAGAATAGAGTTTGGGGGTATACTATACGAGGAACCCCCAAAATAGTATAGGTAATCATGTAGGCCCCTATATCAGGGACCCAAAGGTTTCAGGCTTTTAGTTTACGGTGAGTTTAAAGCCTTCGGGCTTTTAGGCGGTTCAGGGTTTAGGGTTTAGGGTCTAAGGATTAGGCTCAGGGTTGTTGTGGCTTGGACGTAGTCGTTGAGTCGAGAGATAAGGAGACCACTGATCGCGTGGGCATCGCCCTAAGCCCTCACTCTCGGGGAAGGGTGTGAGATCGATGGCTCTGTGAGCAGCTTTATGCATGGGACCTAAGTCCCAATAATGCGTGCTCAAAGGATTACTTTAGGGGCCTGAATGATTACCCATCCTATTTTGGGGGTTCCTTATACAAGTATAGTATAATAATGGGCCCAAAGACCCTATTCTAAATGTTAGGGATACAATAATTTGGGTTGGAGGGTGACGAAAGGATCCTAGGTCCTAAGTACCGACGAATCAAGCAGAAAACAGGAGCTTCTGCAGCATAGAAGGCCTCAATACTTAGGCTAGGGTTCTGTTGCATATGATGCTGCGTTCTATAGAGGGATATTCTTATCTGTAACGTAATCACCCCGACCCCCTTATGACACCAAGAGTTCAAGTACCAAATCGTATACTCTCCGATATATATATATATATATATATTATATATATATATATATATATTCCAACAAAACTTATATCCCAAATCCAAGCAGGCTCAGTTGGACCCTTGGGTCTATGTATCCCCGGCAGCTACTTAAGATCCTTCAGTCCCAGAACCTTTTCCAGACGCTGCTGAAGCTCCCCTGATTTAGGGTTTAGGGCTGTTTCCGCTGACATCATCTCGTAAAAGCAACAGATGCCCAAAGCCGCGTGCGGAGACGCGTCGCCCTCCAAAACAAGCAGATCCAGGACTCCACCTATCAAAACTGCCTGGGGTTTCAATCTCCAGGATAGGGAATAGGAGTCACGAGGGCCCCCGGTTCAGGACCCAGGGCTGGGGCTTTAGATGGATCTAGCTCTAGCAATCTCTGGGAATATAGGGGCCTAAATAACTACCTCTACTGTTTTGGGGGTTCCTTGTTATAGTTATAGTATCATAGGCCCCGAAACCCTATTCAAATTATTGAAGCCCCTGCATTACTCACTGCTTGCTGTCTCGTCAGGGAAAGAGCTGGACTCAGTCTGAGAAAAAGAAAGTACATGCCTTGACTGACTGGCCCTACAGTACTTGGAGGCGCAGGGGACTTAGTAAGTAGGTTATAAGTTATAAGTAAGTAGGGTTATAAGTACCCTAATTGGAGTTACCTCAATTACAACCCTACTTATAACTGACTTACTTAGTCCACCGGGCCTCCAAGTACAGTATACCTGTAAACCAAGTTTTGCGTAAACCGTGAAGCCCGAAGTAACATTGACTCTTCCGCAGACCTGGAAGGACAAAGCAGGTTTTCCACCGAACGCAGCGGCGGCTCGACCCCCTTCGGGGGATTTCAAGCGACGCACGGTCATGTGAGACACTTCGCAAGGCTGCAAGACCAGCCGCTTACCCTGAACACCTAAACCCTAAACCCTAAACCAAAAACCCTAAACCCCACAGAAGTGAACTGGTAGACTGCATGGCATAAGACCAGGCTCGAAAGGGATGATCCTAGAAGCCCAGGTCGCCATGGAGCAGGTCACCATCTTTGGGCAGATGATTGGATTTACACCCGCGTCTGTATCTAGAATATGGCAACCCATTCTTAGGGTTTAGGATTTAGGGTTTAGGGTTCATTCTGTGGTAGTTTCAGAACATATGCGACCCTGATACAGAGACCTTAAATACGAGTGTCCTTACTGTAAGGACCCGCAAGCATTCGTTTCCCTACCCAATAATCGAACACTCTCCCAACTACTCTCCTCCATAACTACTATCCGAAACCCAAGTACTACTATCCGAAACCCAAGTACGTTATAGGATAGGGTCCTTTGGACCCTATGGGTTAAGCCCCTCAGGCGGGTAAGGTAGGGGCCTTGATTATTACCTATACTATTTTGCGGGGGCTCCTTATTACAATTATAGAATACTGGGCCCAAAACTCCTATTCTAATCATTAAGGCCCCTATCTTATGGAACCCTTATAGTAGCCCATATAGAACCCTTTCAAGGAGGCCTTTAAAGGAACCCTATTCTGATTATTAAGACCCAAACCCTAAACCCTAAACCCTAAACCCTAAACCCTAAACCCTAAACCCTAATTATTAAGACCCCTATATTAGCTGGGCTTCTAGGGTCATCTGGCCCCGGCCCTCCTCCTGCAGGAATGCCAGGAGCTCCTCCTGTCCACACGTTGGCTGCAGGCAGTTTAGGGTTTAGGTTTTAGGGTTTAGGCTTTAGGGGTTTAGGGTTTAGGGGTTTGGGGTTTTAGGGTTTAGGGCCTTTGTTTGCACCGGTGCCAGGGCATGTAAACGGGGATCGGGGTCCTACACCTTAGGGTAAGAGTAAGAGTAACAAGTTTAAGCGCCAACTGCTTAAAAGAAAAAGCCTAACTTGGGCTCGTGGTCGGCCAGAATCTACCCAAAACCATGTTCCCAAACGCTTGAACAAATGCCCAGAGAGCGCGATACCCCGTTTGTCAACTGTTGGGCTTCGCAACTTGGCCGTATGCAATACCCCGACTGCCCTTATTACTTACACTTCGCTGCCTGAAGGAGCTGTCCTTCGTAGCAACTAGTACTAAAATCAGATCTGTGAATAACCTAGAAATAGAACAGCAAAATATATAAGTGTGTCTGCTAGTGTTTATCACCGCAAAGATTCGGGTATACTTACCTTCTTGACTCTCACACACATATATATATATATATATACACACATGTACATATACAT